TTTTTTTTTTTTTTTTTTTTTGCAGTTTTTGGCCAGGGCTGTGTTGAACCTGCCACCTCTGGTCTGGCATATGGGGCCGGCTCCTACTCCTTTGAGCCATAGGCACTGCCCACCACAGAGGTTTTTAAGCCTACTATACTAGCCTTCCTTTCAATTATTTTATGATAAATGCCCTTGTTCATAACAAACACACTTTAATGAAACCCTTTGCGATATATTTCACAGCACTTAGTGAATGAGAAGAAGTAAGGGCTGAGGGAAGAGAAAGCATTGAGGATAATTCCTAGATTTTCCATTTGAGTATTTTATGGTAGTTATGGTTTCTACTGAGATGGGACACACTTAAACTGTGTTTGTGTTCATATGAAGAGTCATGTTTTGTGACTAACCCTTTAGAACAGCCAGTGAAAGTTTTAGGTGAAATTTTATAGAAATCACATGAGTAAAACAAGATTGCAACCTCTTCAGACAGCTACAGAACTGCCCAGTCATCAGCATGAAGTGGTAGTGCTCACGGAAATGAGAAATCAAAGATTGCATGAGAGTTTCTCCCTCCTGCTGGCATGTTCTTTTGTAGTAAAAATGAAAATTGTATAAGTCTTCAGATAAAAAGAATGTGTGGTTCTAATGGTGTTGGGAGGAACCCTAGTGAGAAGCAAGATGAGTGACAGGTGATTATTGTATATATATATTTTTAATGATTTAGTCTTCAGCTTTTTGTCCTAAAAGTGACCATCAACTCTAGTCCTGCCATGACAGGAATGCTGGGCACCTGGTTGTGAGTGCTTAAAATATGCCTTCCAGAGGATACTTTTCTGTGCTGGTGCAAGGCTAAGCATCCAACCTGTGACCAGGTGCCCCTCTCACAGGACACTTGTCTGTACTGGCAGACACCCTGTGGCTTTTGTCTGATCCATCTCTTTTTTTTCCTACCAAGATAGCCAGTGTCTGGGAGAACTTGAAAAGAGCAGATGTTATGTTGGTGTGTTGGTCAAACACGACGTGAAGTACAGGAAATATCAGATGTGGTGCATTACTCACAGCATCCAGAGAAAGGTGTTTCATGCTCCCTGGGGGTCAGGAGAAGGGGGAGGCTCTCTGGGGGATACACAACGAATCACTGAGATGCATCAAGAGGAAGAGTGAGGAGCCTCTGGACCAAAGTCTTTGCTGGGTCCGTGGTGTTACCTTCTTGGGCTCGAGGGTGGGCATTCATGGCCTGGAGAATGACAATTGGTGGGATCACAACCAGCAGGTACAAGTTCATGGGGTCACGCCGTGGGTAGGAGGTGGTCACTGTGTGTATCTGCACAGCCCAGGTGAGTCCCGGGGACTCAGTGGTTGTACCTACTTGTCCCACAGGAGCAGGGTCACTAAGCAGTGTGGAAAGCAGGGACTCACACACACCACTCTGCTTGGCAGAAAGGAGGTGGAGGACTTTAAACTGTGTACTGGTACTAATCCTCCTTCCAGCATGAGAAAGTCTGTCTTATGTTTAAAATGGTTACCAAGACATCATAAAGGTATAAAAATCTACAGAAATAGCAATAGTAAGAACACTGTGTTTAATTATCATAAAGAATGAAGAGAACACCCTAATCTCTTGTACTGAGTAAAATTTATTTAGAAAGTTTGAAGGGTCAATGGTACTAAAAGTATTGATTTATTTTTTATATAAGATGTGTATTGAAGAATAAAATTTCATTTCCAAGAGTGAATACCCTTTTTATTACAGGACAAGTTATAGCTGACAAGCAAGCTCCATTAACCCTGACTTAACGAAATTCTATTTAATTAGAGGTTCAGAAAGAGAGGTGACAATTTCCATAGCTCTCTAGCTGGTCATCTATGTCAAATTACAGATAAAGATATCCTCACACAACAGTGCTTACGTTCACAGACACGTAAGTGTAAGAAAATTATTATAGAGTCCATATCTAAACGGTTAGTGGACATACACAGTGATAATTCATGAGACAGGAAGTTATGTGCTAGTAATTACAGAAGTCTAAACCAGATAACATTTTGTGGCTTCCTTTCAAGGAATATTTATTTTAACTTTGTTTATAAATGGCATATAATAATATACGTTTATATGGTATATATAACTTTATAAGGAATAGGTATACATACCCTTATAAAATATATATATATGTCAATGTATGTCTACATTATGTAAAGATGATATCCGGGTAGTCAGCGTGTTCATGACCTTAAACATTTATTATTTTGCTGCAGTAACACTACAAGTGCTCTCTTCTAGTATTGTGACATATACGCCACATAGTTATTGTATCATGTACTGTAAGGGCAGAACTTACTCTGCAGCTGTACTTTCGGGCTGGGACCGACGTCCCGCTCTGCTCCTGCCCCCTCCTGCCCAGCCTCTGGTGCCCGCTGTTCTGCTCTCCGCTTCCCCGACACCAACTTGCGACTACCCCGCATACAAGTGAGATCACGCAAGGTTGCGTTTCTAGCCTGGGCTTATTTGACTTCA